GGGAGGGCCTTTACCTTTTACTCTTTTTTGAGAGATTATTTTTTCTTTTTGGGCCAAACCCAGCACTGCTCAGGAATTACTCCTGGTAAAGCTGGGGCAACAGAACAGTGGGTAGGACATTTGCCTTGCACACAGCTGACCTGGGTTTGATCCCCAGCACCCTCTCATGGCTCCCTGAGCATTGCCAGGAGTAATTCCGGAGTGCAACGCCAGGAGTAACCCCTGAGTATTGCTGGGTGTTGGCCAAAAACCAAAAGATAAAAGAATAAGAAGACTCTCTCCTGTCAGTGCTCCAGGGACATATGGGATGCCAGTGATCAAACCTGGGTCTGCCTTGTGCAAGGCAAGCACCCAACCTGCTGTCCTATCTCTCTGGCTTTTTTTTTCTCCCTTCTGTTTTTGGGCCATACCTGGCGATGCTCAGGGCTGACTCCTGGCTCTGTGCTCAGGGGACCATACTGAGTGCCGGAGATAGAGCCCAGGTCAGCTGCGTGCAAGGTAAGTGCCCTTCCTGCTATGCTATTGCTTCAGCCCTATCGTGGGTTCACAGATTCCTGGCTGCTGTGTGGCTAGAGATTGTTTTGGTACCACACGCACTTGTGCTCAGGGCTTACTCATAGTTCTGTGCTCAGGGATCACTCCTGGCAAGCTTCGGGAAACACATGGTGTGTCAAGAGATCAAATCCAGATCAGATGTTTGCAAGGCAAGTGCTCTATTGCTACACCATCTCTCCAGCCTCAACTGAGGCTCCCCAAGCCGTACTCAGCAGGCCAGGGGCAACTTCTGGGTATTAGGTCAACCAGTGCTCAGGTCTGAGGTAGACCTATCAGGAGGCTAGCAAGTCCAGCCATAGTGCAGTGCTGGGGGAGGGTTCGCCACTTGTGAACCGGATCCTGGGAGGCTGTTTCTGGGCTGAGGATCAAGCTTAAGGCCTGAAGTTAAACTCAAGTCTTTTCTGAGCCTTTCCTATGGCATTTGCCATTACTTTCTAGTTTACCCCCACATACGCAGGTGGTTTGGAATGTCCTAGTCTTCATTATAGCCTGACCCACGGTACTGTCTCTCAGGCTCTGCAGAAAGTTAATTCATTGAGCAGCTATTATGTACAAGATTGGTGATGCTACAGATGGCGATGCAGATGGTGCTGCAGATGGTGCCGAGGAATGAACGAGTTCCTAGACCCTCAGTGGGTGTGATTTTTTTCTTTCATTTTTTTTTGGGTCACACCCGGAGATGCACAGGGGTTACTCCTGGCTCTGAACTCAGGAATTACTCCTGGTGGTGCTTGGGGGCCCATATGAAACACTGGGAATTGAACCCGGGTCGATCGTGTTCAAGAGAAACACCCTACCCGCTGTGCTATCGCTCTAGCCCCAGTGGGTATGATTTTGTAAGCTGTCCATTCAGGTTGCTGTCATCTTTAGGAAGACTTTGCTGTCTACAGGTAAGAATATATGAACATGGGTTTAAGGTTTTAGACCCCAAGGAGCAGGAGATCATAACATGAAAACATGACTGTAAATATTTCACCGAGAAATCAGAATTATCATCCATATCCCCAAACACTACTTATCAACCATGTGTTCATCTGCCTCTGCCACTTGGCAGCAACTCCCCAGAAACCTTTGCAAAGACAACTGCAAACAGTCACAATGCCTGCAGCATGTTCTCTTAAGAAGACACATATCCAAAGCAGACCCAGGGTAGAAATATTTAATGTCCCAAGAAAGGCTCAAACTAGGTCAGGTTTACAATGCATACCCCTGGGGCTGGAGAGATAGGATAGCAGATTGGGCGCTGGCCTTACACGAGTTCAATCCCAGCATTCCATATAGTTCTCAGTGCACCACCAGGAATAGTTCCTGAGCATCAGAGTGTGGCCCCAAAACACAAAAAAACCCCCAATAAAATACATGTCCCAGGACCGTGAAAGTTGGTGGGCATTGACCTGGGGTTTGATCTCAGCATCCCAATGGTCCCCTTAGCCCTGTCAGGATAATTCCTGGATGCAGAGCCAGGAATAAGCCCTGAGCATCAACAGGTGTGGCCCCCCAAACAAACAAACAAACACATGTCCCAGAAGTCCTTTCCTGCACAGTCTGGGCGAGGACCACACTATCTTTTGTGAGACCGAGGAGGTGGAAGTGATGTAGCAGCCGTTTGGTTTGTTGGCAGTGGAAAGGGGTTTGGTGCCTGGCACGGTGAACACTCAATGGGTAGGACCAGTCCGGGGGTGTGACTGCAGGGCAGGACTTACTGTGTGCAGGGATGCCTTCGGACAGTGCTCAGGGAGCAAATGTGGTGCCAGGGACCGGGCCAGAGAATGAACCTGGGTCAGCTGTGTGCAAATACCTTAAATCTGAAGTCCTGTACTCTTCTCTGTTCATATATATATGCATTCGCGGCTGCACGACATCTTATTATCTCATTCTTACTTTGGACAAACTGGCAGGCTACCGAATGTAACCTGTCCACACGGCAGAGTCTGGCAAACTCCCCATGGGTTACCCAATATGTCAAATACTAATAACAATGATGGGTCTCATTCTCCTAACCCTGAAAGAGCCTTGAATATGACACTTTTAAAAAAATTCTCCGGGCTAGGACAAAGGAGACGTTACTGGGGCCTGCTCGAGGCAATCGACAAACAATAGGATGGTCGTGATATATATATATATATATATTTTTTTTTTTTTGGCCACACCTGGTGGTGCTCAGGGCTTACTCCTGGCTCTGTGCTCAGATTTCATTCCTGGAGGTCTAAGCAGACCGTAAGGGGAGCTGGGGAACTGAACATGGCTCGACTGTGTGTAAGGCGTGCACTTTCTTCTCTGTCTTATCTTTCCGCTCTTCCACCCTTTCGGGAAGATTGAAAATAACTGGTTGGTGCTCAACCACCCCTAGTCAATGCTTGGCAGTTCACTGAGCTTGACTGCATGGCCATGATGATGTTAAAAGTGAGGATTCTCAGAGCGTGGGAAGTTAAATTCTCAAAATGACCAGAAAGCCTGGGGAAACCTTTTGTTTTCACTTGTTTCATTCAACCAGACTATAAGTGATCTTCTGGAAGCCAATTACCCAAGATCCCGCCCAGCATTCCCTAGCCCTCCCCCACCAGTGGATGCCTTACAGCGCCAAACAGCTGTTTTTTTTTTTTTTTCCTTAATAGGCTTGTGAATTCTCCGCATTATCCTTCCTTGCTAGGAGAAAGTGAGGCAGAGGAAGGAATCTGATGCCATTTCAATTCCACCAAATGCTTGGGATTCTTGAGGCAACTATCAACATTTTGGCTCATGGGACAAGCGAATCCTAAGCATCTGAGGCGAGCAAATGACCTATGTGAGAACCGAACAAGGAAGGGCGCAGGGTCCTGGGTCCTGTGGGATGCTTACATGATCATTCCGAGCTCTCATTTGATTCTTCAGGGTTTCCACGGAAAACTGTGTCACAGGCGACTGCTAAAATTCCCCTCTTCATTTTCCTAGTCCTGGGGAACGAATTCAGGTCTCACTGCATGCAAGGCATACGCTTTCCACTGAGCTTCATTTCCAGTTCAGTTGCCCAATCCACGAAAGATGAATTTCTCTGGGGGGAGGGCCACACCCAGCCACGCTCAGAGGATCTCTTGAGCCAGCAATGCTCCCCCACTCTGTGCTCAGGAGATTAAAATGAAGGTTCAAAAGATGCAGAGTAAGTGCGTAGCCCCCTGTACTATGCCTTCAGTCCAGCCAGACGGACAGGTCAAGCTCTTCGTGGCGACCAGTTGCGACAGGATGCTGGCGAGGCCTGTTTAGCAATGCTGAGGGTGAAGGTCACAGAAGCAGATTCTGTGTCACTGCAGAATAAGAGAAATCAGGAAAACAGCAGTGCTCAAAGGATCACGTGTTCTTTAGACCCTCCTCCACTTCCCAAAGAAATCTGTCAGACTGTGGGAGATAGAGAGGGGAAACAAACATGAAGGGAAACACAGAAGGGTCCAGGAACTTCGAAGGTGGCAGAGAATGGCTGTGTGCACACGGGGGTCTGTCTCTGCTGTTGGGAAGAAAAATGTCCCGCTAGGCTGGAGGGAATTGAATTTTCTGATTTTTGACAGGAAGCGGCTCAAATTCAATGAACTGTGGCACCCACAATTCATCCGAGCGCTGTCTCCAGGGCCATCAGCCCTGGAGAATACTCTGTAATGTACCGCAGAGAGGGGCATCCACAGCACTGCTCAAAGGTCAGACCCTCAGGCACCAGCACCAAGCCCTCCCCTCTCAGCGACCTTAGGCTCTGGCATGTGCTGGCTGCTAGGAAGACTCAACAAATTTATAGCCAGGAAAACCTTCTCCAGCTCATCCTCAAAAATCTGGAGCGTAATCACTATTGGCTTAGAAAAACACACAGAAAAATAAAAAAGAGCTGTTCATTACCAAATAATCTAACCGCAAGGGGAAGAGTCTGAATCCGCTCCAGAGACAAGAGATTCAGAGCGGAAAGGGGCCGGCGTAGACTTCGGTGCTGTGGCTGGAGATGCACCCCCATCCACCCCTCCGGGGTGAACCTGGAAGCATCAGGCATCCTCAAACCTCTGGAAGCAGCTGAGTGGCTGATAAAGCGTTAGCCACGCCCCTCAGGTGCTCACTTGCGTTTCAGGGACCTACTAATAGGCACCGTGACAATCTCTTCATTTCCCAAACAGAACAGATCCGACGTCAGCCAAACCAACATTATTAGCTGTTTCAGGGGACTCATGGGTTAATGAGACGACCACGCCCAACTCCAGCCCGTTTTCGGATTATCTGGTTCATTGGAAGAACGCTTATTCAATTCCCTGCTGAAGAAGAGTCCCAGGTGGTTTCTGAGTGTTCGGAGATGCTGGGGCCCAATTCCGTTGCTTCAGGTCATTTCCTGGAGTCTCATTTCTTCTGCTTGACCCCATCTGAGTTTTCCACTCGAACCACCACATTCCTACAGACGGTTTCAGCCAAACCGAGAGTAATGGGAACTAATGTTTGTTTTGTTTTTAAATTTATTTAAGGAACACAAAAATGAGCATCATTTTTAAAAAAAAAAAACAAAACAAAACAACTTTTAATTCCTCATATGCTGCCTCACCACTCCATAAGCAGTTAGAAAATATCTGGTTCCTAGACGGACTGGTTAGGTGGCGGGATCTTAGACAAGAACAGGGAGTTCTTTTCCTTGAGGGTGATGGGTAACGCCACCCTCCATGGTCACCAGCCTTCCTTGGCCCACCCAGTCTCTCCTCCCGCACAAATGCCTGTCCCCACTAGCCCCAAGGCCCAGGTGGGTGATGACAGCTGGGAAAATCTAATTTCTTGACTGGTTCTGTTTATGCATTAAAAAAAAAAAAACTGGGAACACAGATTGTCTTCTGAGGACCAAATTTCAAACTCGGCCTCACCGGAACCCAGCTCTAACCCAACAGACCTACAAATACGAGCGAGGTAAAGCAACAAGATACACTTTGATGGAGAAACAACGAATTCCATTGTTTCATAGAAATGACTATTTAAAAGATTTTTTTTTTTTGTTTTGTGTTGGTGCCACACCCACTGGCAGTGCTCAAGGCTCACTCCTGGCTCTGTGCTCAGGGATCACGTTTGGTGGGGCTCAGGGGACCGTGTGAGGTGCCGTGGATTGAAGCTGAGCTGGGTCCATGCAAGCAAGGCAAGCACCCAACTCCTAGCCTGTTATTTCTCCAGCCTGAAAATATTTTATTAATGGGTCCTAACGTCATGGCAAAAGTGTTGTTAAATAACATTAAAAACCCAACCCAACCCATCTACAATATTAACTGCCAGTGTTCTTTGGAATCTAAAATGTGAGATGCTCTGGAGTATTCCTGGGCTGCCGCAGGGATTTCGGGGAGGGTTTGCGCCCCTGGGAACAGAGGGCGGTGCTCAGTTTCATATACCCGTAAGAAACTACAGTTCACTACTTGGCCTTACTGAAGACGCGCCCTCGTTCAATGCCCAAGTGAGTGCTGGAGTTGGGGGGGGGGGGGTGCGCGTCAGTCCTCTCCCACCGCTGGGCGCTGGGGGTGGGCCGCGGGGAAGATCCGGACGGTACAAGAGCAAGCTGGGAGGCATCTTTGCATCTTTCAGCCTCATTGACTGGATTGTAAAAATAAAGCTACTTAGTAGTATCAAGTCCTTTTTTTTCTTTTCTTTTTTTTTTTTTTGCATGATAGGAGTGTAAATAAAAGTTCCATAAACCAGTATACACGTTTATGGGACAGTAATCAGAAATACGAACCAAAGGGGGGGGAAAAAATCTAAAGAAAGAAAGAAAACCCACAAAGCTGCCCGGGTCCTAGACGGTTCCCTGGCTGCATCCGCTCCGGGGCCACGGTACTAGGGGAAGTGTGAGGCTCTGACTCGCGCCAACAGGCAGTCCCTGTCTTCAGCAGGGGTCGTGGGGGAGGAGGAGGAGAAGGAGGAGGAGGAGGGTGGCCCCCTGGGGCGCGGCCCTGGGCCCCTCGCGCTCCTGGGCGCCTGGAGGGGCACCTTGCGCGCTGCGGGGTGCATCCTTGCGCTTCCTACAGTGCTATGCTGCTGGGGGCCGGGGCCAAGTGGACACCGCTGGGGGACAGGCCTCCGGGTGGGGGAGGGGGCCGGCGCGAGGGGCTGGGGCTGTTGGCTCAGTCTCTCCGCGCCCACCGTCCCCCCGGGGGTGGTCCCACGCCTGCCCTCCGTGGGCGCACGGGGCGGCAGCAGGGAGGCGGCGGCTTGGAGGGAAGCGACTGCGCTGCCCCTGGCTGCCCGCGTCACGGGGGGCGCGGCGGGGTCCGGCGAGGGGCGAGCCCGCGGAGGAGGAGGGCGAGGGCGGCTCTCTGCCCTCCCGGGCGCGGCGTCATACACGGCCCTCCGCCTTCTCTTCTTCCATGGCCTGGCTCTCGGCTTCCTTCCCCGGGTTGCAGGCCTCTTCTCGGGGCTTCTTGCCCAGGGATCTACTGGCCTCTTCCTGGAGGGGGGAGAAAAAAAGAGAGAGAGAGAAAGAGAGAGAGAGTGAGATGCTTAGTCCAGTCGCTGCAGCTCTCTGCCACTGCCAGGCTGGGAGCAAGGGGCCTTGTGTGTGTGTGTGTGTGCGTGTGTGTGTGTGTGTGTGTGTTGAGGGGCACGGGGTGTCTATGGGGGAAATCACGATGCTTCCCCAGGACGGTGTTGTCATCCAGGTGCGGCCGGGAGACCCTCTCTGACCCTCACATGGGAAGGCTGGTTCCTGGAGCCCTAGAGTCAGAGACGGTGCTGTCTCTCTCAAAACACTGGAAACTGAGCTTCCTCACGACCCGGCAATAGCACTTTGGGGAATATGCCCCAAGGACCCAGAAAATACAGCAGAAACGCCATTTGAACTCCTACGTTCATGGTAGTACTATGCACAATAGCCAGCAACTGGGAACAGTCCAAGTGCCCGAGAACAGAGGACTGGGTACAGAAACGATGGCACATCTACGCAAAGGAATAACTACGTAGCTGCCAGGAAACATGAAGTCATGATGCTTGCTTCTACATGGATGGACATGGAGGGTATCCTGCTGAGTGACATGAGTCAGAAGGAGAAGGACATACAAAGAATGACTGCACTCATGTACAGGATATAAAAAAAATAGCCCTGCACTGTAGCACTGTCTTCCCGTTGCTCGTCGATTTTGCTCGAGCGGGCCCAGTAACGTCTCCATTATGAGACTTCTTGTTACTGTGTTTGGCATATCAAATATGTCACGGGGAGCTTGCCAGGCTTTGCCGTGTGGGCGAGATACTCTCGGTAGCTTGCCGGCCTCTCCTAGAGGGGTGGAGGAATCAACCAGGTAGGCCAGGTTGGCCACGTGCAAGGCAAACACCCTACCCGCGGGGCTATCGCTAGTGAGATTAATGGCCAGGGACATTAGAAACAAGGGCTGGGATGGCGAGAAGCTTGCCACAAAGGCTGGCAGGAGGGCAGTTAGGACGAAGAAGAGAGAAGAGACCATTACGGAACTGAGTGCTGAAAGGAGGTACTGTACTGCAAACCATAATGTCCAAAAGAGGTGGGGGTGGAGAGAGAGAGAGAAGAAAGAAAAGTGCCTGCCATAGAGACAGGTGGGGCAGGAGGGAAACTGGGAACACTGGTGGTGTGAAATGTACACTGGTGAAGGGACGGGTGTTGGAACATTATGTGACTGACTGAAGCCTGATCATGAACAACCTCAGGTTAACTGTGCATCTCACTGTGATTCAATTAAAAAAAAAAAAAAAGCAAAGTCAAGACAAACAAAGGCCTTACTAGATTTCCAGGGAAATCTTCAATGTCATTCATGGCCAGGCCAGAGGCTCACAAGTCTCTGTGCCTGTGGGGAGTGCGGGGGCCCTCCAGATGCAAACCAGCCGCAGAACAGGTCTGAGTGTCCTTTCTGTGGGCCCGTCCCCCGTCCTCCCCATCACCCGGGGGAAGCTCGCTCTCCAGTTGGGGGCCGGGCATCCCGCACGCACCTTTGCATCCTGCTCTGCAAACTTCTTGAACATGTTGGCGTAGATCCTGCGGTCCCTCTCGTTGTGCTCCTTCGCTTTTTTCTGACACACAGAGATCTGCAGCCGGGCCGCCTTGTTGTGGGGATTCACTTCTAACACTTTCTCGAAGTCGCCCCGGGCTGACTCGAACTCGTTCATGAGCAGCTGGGCCTCCCCTCGCCGGTACAGGCCCTTCTCATTGGTATTGTCCAGGCCCAGAGCCTAAGGAAAGGACGTCGATGGTTTAGAAGGAAGGGACAGAACTTGAGGGGCCGTAGAGAGAGAACTGGGCTTAAATCATTTACCAGTGCTCTCTGGAAAAGGCACACGGAAAGAAACGAGGCTCGGGGCTGGAGCGACAGCACAGCAGGGAGGGCGTTTGCCTTGCAGGAGGCCAATCCAGGTTCTATTCCTAGCATCCCATACGGTCCCCCGAGCAATGCCAGGAAAATCCCTGAGTGTAAAGCCAGGAGTAACCCCTGTGCATCACTGGGTGTGACCCAAAAAGCCAAAAAAGAAACGGGGCTCAAGGCAACTGCAGATTACTTACTCAAACACAAGCAACCACTCAAATTGGTCATTAGAGTTAAGGCATCTTTTAAAACGATTCCACGGGGATCAGGCTGGGGTGGGGTGGGGCTCTTGAAAAATTCACTTTCAAGTTTAGTGGGGAGTGGGAGAGAGAGAATGGGGAGTCACGAGTGGCCTTGCACACAGTCAGTCATGGCTCAGTCCCTGGCATCACCTACAGTTCCCTGGGCTCCACCAGGAGTCACTGAGAAGAGCCAGGGATAGTCCCCGAGCCCTGCAGGGTATGGTCCCAAAAGTCCAAATGATGCGAATGATAACAGGGCTGGAGCGATAGCACAGCGGTAGTGCGTTTACCTTGCACGTGGTCAACCCTGGTTCAATTCCCAGCACCCCATATGGTCCCCCAAATATTGGCAGGAGTAATTTCTGAGTGCATGAGCCAGGATAACCCCTGTGCATCGCTGGGTGTGACCCCATCACCATAACAATAACGATGATGATGTTATATAAAAATTTCAACAGGAATATAGGCCCAAGAAAGACTGAAAACTGTTTTGGAAAAGAGCGTGAGAGGGGCTCGACCTAACAGGGAAGGAGACATTGCCAGTGAGACTGTGACATGGGGCAGGGCAGGTGGCTCAAAAGGCTGGGGCTCCGGGGCTGCACACAAGGGCCAGGCTCAACCCAGTCACTGCATGCTCCCTGGAGCACCGAGCCAGGGGCACCCCACAGCACTGCCAGGTCCGGCCCCCAAATCCGCAGCAGGGCGACTCCCCGTCCACAGACACACTGCCCAGCGGAGACCACGGGCAGTGCTGGGGCTGGTGGCTGGGCAGGGCAGGACAGGGACTGCACCTGCAGTGATGAGGCGGTGACGAGGCAGGGCCGGCGGCTCGGTCAGGGAGAAGTGGGGAAGCCAGCGGCAAGGCCCAGATCAAACCCTGATGAGTGAGTGTCTGTGCCACAGCCACACAGCCCCAGGCACACAGTGCATGGGACTGATGGATGGATTGGACGGGGATGCTCAGCGCTGCTCAGGCCCAGCAGGCTGGCCGGGGAGGGCGTGTGGTACCCAGGAGCAAACTCTGGGGCCTCTGGCATGCAGCGTGTGTTCTACTACCACACCCCAGACATTGTTTTATTATTATTATTATTATTATTATTATTATTTTTTAATAATCTGTTTTGATTTTTTCCTGGGTGTTTTTATTTTTGACACAGTCTCTCTCTCTCTTGGTCTCTGTCTCTCTCTCTCGGCAATGCACAGGGGTTACTCCTGGCTCTGCAGGAATTACTCCTGGCCGTGCTCAGGGGACCATATGGGATGCTGGGAATCGAACCCGGGTTGGCTGTGTGCAAGGCAAACACCCTACCCGCTGTGCTATTGCTCTAGCCCCTGACCCAAGCTGGGTTGACTGTGTGCAAGGCAAACGCCCTACCCGCTGTGCTATTGCTCCAGCCCCTGACCCAGTGTTTCTACTTCTAGAAATTTATCCTACGAAAAACATCCTGTGAGAAATTTATCCAGGGCCGGAAGATGGCTCAAAGGGCTCAAATGCATATCAGTATGTGGAGGCCCAAGATGGACCCCTGACACCTATTGGTGCCCCCACACTGCTGGGGTAGCCCTCATGGTCCCAGCGCGGAACTTTCAGGCTGTTAGTCAGGCTGAGTATTGCTGAAGTGGCCCCACCTACTGCTAGGGTCAAGGGCCCTCATAATTCAGTCCCTCAGTACAAAGAAATAAGGTGCTATATGTTATATAGATATGTAGCATTGTAGCACTGTCCTCTTGTTCATCGGTTTGCTCCGAGCGGACACCAGTGATGTCTCCACTGTGAAACTTGTTGTTACTGTGTTTGGCATATCAAAGGTGCCACGGGGAGCTTTCCAGGCTCTGCCGTGCGGGCAGGATACTCTCGATAGCTTTGCCGGGCTCTCCAAGAGGGACAGAGGAATCGAACCCAGGTCGGCTGCATGCAAGGCAAACACCCTATCCACTGTGCTATCGCTCCAGCGCATGTAATACCAAGAATCTGGAAAACTACCAAAGGGATTGGTTAAATACAGTTGGACAGATGCCTCCAGTGGCTACGGGCGTTAAGTGCTAAGATACAGAAAGGTGTCCTTGCTTTATATAACGCTGATGAGAGCTCCACACTCTCGTCATGACATTCATGCATGTTAGTGGATGGATGCAAGTGGTTCAATGGAAGGAGAACACGTGGAATGAAAGACTATGTTTTTGGGAGAAAGGGGTCCACAGGATGGGGATGAAGAGACGGTATAGCAGGTAAGGTGCTTGCTTTGCACGCGGCCAACCTGTGTTCGATCCCCGGCGTCCTATATAGTTCTGGGTGCTGCCAGCGCCCACTAGGAGTGCCTCCTGACTGCAGAGTCAGGAGTAACGCCTGAGCATCGCTGGGTGTGGCCCCAAACCAAAATAAAACAGAATGAAATGAGAGAGGGGTGCATGGGAATTTGGGGTGATAGTGGGGGTGGTTTGATCCACAGACGGTGCTCAGGGGCCCAAGAGGTGCCAAGGAGGAAACCTGGACCTGGGTCTCTTGCATTCACAGCCTGGGTGCTGGGGCTCTGAGCCACCTCTACCTCCAGCCCTGGTCTGTGGGATTTTATGAATGGGCTTTCATTTTGCTTCTCTAATACTTGATTTTTTTGGGGGGTGGGGGGACATGGGGACTTCTGGGCCACATTTGGTGGTGCTTTATGCATTTTGCAGGACCAGGGATTGAACCCAGGGCCTCACCCACGCAAGGGAAGTGCTCTATGACTGAGCTACCTCCTGGTTCTTTAATTTCTGAATTTGCAGTAACTTGATTGCTCCTTTAAAAGAGAAGCATTAAAAAAAATTAAAATGTAAAGAAAAACATTCCTTTCTTGGGAAGAAATCTTGCAAAACATGACAGAGAACATACTGATGAATGAAACTCAATCTTACAAAGAACGTACAACAATATTTTTCTTGTTCTGTATGTCTCTCTGGATGCACATTTGATTATTGCCTTTCACAGTGTTCACTGTGAGAGGCTGAATGCCCCACAGAAGTGTCCTGTGGTCCCTAAATGCCAGCACGGTACAATTGATAAACAATAGCCATACAGCACCAAGATACTGAAAGACTAAAAAACTAATAAACCAACATCAGTTTTTTTTGTTTGTTTTTGCATCACACCCAGCGGTGTTTAGGACTTACTCCTGGCTCTCAGTGATCATTCCCGGCGGTGCTCAGAAATGACAGTGCTCAGGGATATCAGATGACAAATATCAAACCTGGGTCGGCCATGCTCAAGGTGAGCGCCCTCCCTGCTATACTACTGCTCTGGCCCCAGCCAACATAGACATTAAGGGAAAGAGTTGCTAATGTTTTGTGGGTTTTTCAAATCATTTGTGTTTTTTCTTAATCCGTGAATAATAAAAACTAATTTGTACAGCTGTAGTGTTATATATATATATATATATATATATATATATATATATATTCCTGAAAGGCTTAAATCTGTTCTTATTAAAGTTAACTTATTAAAGGGTTATGTGTGTAAGCTGATATCAAATGCCATAGCTTTCGATCGTAAATGAAATTAGAACATTTTTATTAAAAACTCTTTTATGGGGATGGAAGAGACCGCTTGGGGCTGAGGAACTCGCTTGGATCCCTGCCACACACAGGACCCCCACGATCCACAAAGGGGCCACTCCCCAGCCAGAGCCAGGAACGGCCCCTGGGAACCCCTGGGTGTGGCCCTGCCCCTCCCCCACCAATCAAATCAAACATTTATTCATACTACATCACGATCCAAATGCAGGCATCAGAAAAGTCTGACTGACTATAACTGAAATCTCTCTGGGGCTGGAGAGATGCCACAGCGGGTAGCTTGCTTCTCTGGCATGCAAACGACCCCTAGCCCCACTAAGACTGAGCAAGCCAGGAGGAAGCCCTGAGCACCGCCTGGGGTGGCCACCAAAGGAATCTTTCAGAATTTCCCAGTTCAAACTGAGAAACCGATAAACAGCACTGTAGCACTGTCCTCCCGTTGTTCATCAATTTGCTCGAGTGGGCACCAGTGACGTCTCCATTGTGAGACTTGTTGTTACTGTTTTTGGCATATCGAATATGCCACGGGGAGCTTGCCAGGCTCTGCTGTGCAGGTGGGATACTCTCGGTAGCTTGCCGGGCTCTCTGAGAGGGATGGAGGAATTGAACCCGGGTCGGCCATGTGCAAGGCAAATGCCCTACCTGCATCAAGAGCACCTGGAAGGAGGCTGGGGAGATGGGGGCTTGGGGGAGGCTGCAACTGGGGAGATGGGGAGCGGGGGAGGTGGCGGCCACGCTACCTTGTCGCAGCAGTCCACGGCCTTGCTGTACTCTCGGAGCTTCAGGTAGCACATGGCCAAGTTCAGGAAGGCAGCGAGCAGGAAGGACTCGGAAGCCTTGGACTCCGTCTCCGACAAGCCGTACTCCATCTCCAGCCAGGAGACGATCTTCCCGTACTGGATCACCGCCTGCATGTACTTCCCTCCCTGAGACAAGAGAAAGAGAAAAAGCTGGTGACCATCATGGCGTGTGGCACAAGACGACCAGCCACATCAGCACACAATCCAGAGTCCCCGGCCAGCCCGCAACCCAGGCTCTCCACCCAAGAGCACCCCCTCAGGGACCTGCACGCAGCACCCCGCTTCCTTCTCGGGAGGTGAGGCCCCCCCAACAAGCTCTCTGCAAGGCCCTTTCCTCCGGGGTCTACTCCTCCTCCCTCCCAGAGGGAGTGCTCCCTCCAGACGAAGTGTCAAGGCACCTGGGCTCCCTAATCTAGCAGTGCTTTCTTTTTTTTTTCTCCCCTCTTTTTGGCTCACACCCAGCAATGCTCAGGGGTTACTCCTGGCTTTGCACTCAGGAATTACTCCTGGCGGTGCTTGGGGGACCATATGGGATACGGGGAACGAACCCGGGTTGGCCGCGTGCAAGACAAACACCCTCCCCGCTGTACTATCACTCTGGCCCCTATCGCAGCTCTTTCAAAGGCCGGGAGCAGTTCTAACCTTTGTCTCGAATGCCCTTGAAGAGGAACCACTTTTCCCTTATCTCCCGACCCTTGGCAATGTCAGGTCGGAAATGATTTGGGCATGTGACAATCTCCCACCCCACAAGTATTAGCTACCCGGAGCAAGGGGGCGCAGCTTTTCCTGTAAAGAGGCCGACAGTGAACATCGCAAGTTCTGCAGACCAGTCCTGGTTTCAACTCTGTCCCGGGCACTGCAACAAGTGGCTATAGACCACGTTAACGCGTGTGGCCAGGCTCCAGGAAACCGACAAAATGTGGCTGTGGGCTGTGGAGTGCCGAGGTACAGATAATGGGACATGCAGAGCTAAGGAGTGGCGCCCAGGGATTACTCCTGAGTCTGCACCCAGGACTCCCTGCTGGCGGTGCTCAGGGGATCTTATGGGACACCATAAGAAATGAGCTTCAAGAGAACAGAAGGAAAGACTCTTCTTTAAATATATAACTGATGGCGGGGCTAGAGCAATAGTATAGCAGGTACGGCGCTTGTCTTGCACATGGCTGACCCGGGTTAGATCCTTGGCACCCCACACGGTCCTCGGAGCACTGCCGGGATTAATTCCTGTGTGCAGAGCCAGGAGCAAGCCCTGAGCATCACTGGGTGTGGCTGAAAAATAAACAATCAAAATAAATAAATGGTGCTGAGGAAACTCGGGAGCCACGTGCAAAATGGTGATATTGGATCTTTGTTTCACACCATACACAGAAACTAATTAAAAATGGACCAAAGACCTTGATATTAGACTCTTCGATCCATTCAATACATAAAGGGAAACTTAGGCAGAACTTCCTAGGATATATAAACATATATATGTACACACACACACACACACACACACACACACACACACACACATATAACATAACACACACACATATATAAACTTCAGACAGTCTTCAATGATTCAACTACACTGGCAAAGAAAGCAAAACCAGGGGCTGGAGAGATGTACCAGGGGGTAAGGCCTTATACATGGCTGACCTCAGCTGGATCCCTGGTACCCCATATAGTCCCCCAAGTATTTCCAAAAGTGAACCCAGAGCACAGAGTCAGGAGTCAGCCCTGAGCATCACTGGGTATGGCCGAAACTCCCATCCTCCCCTATTTAAAAAAAAAAATCAAAACCAAACAATGGGACTATATTAAAAGCTTCCACACTGCAAAAGAAACTATGGCTAAAACAAAGAAACCCTAGTTTCTTTGAATGGGGAAAAATAATTTGCAATCTGACAAAGGGCTAATATCCAATACACATAGAGCACTCAACACAGCAAAAAACTAAACATATCAAAAAATGGGGAGGGGAGAGGTCAGAGTAATAGTACAGCAGGTAGGCGTTTGCCTTGCACACAGGTGACCCGGGTTCGATCCCCGGCATCCCATTTGGTCTCCCAAATGCCGCCAGGAGTGAGTAACCCATGAGCATCACCAGGTGTGCCCTCTTACCCCACCAAAAAAAAAATATATATATGGTGGGGAGAAGAGTTGAAAACAGACCTATGACAAAGTGTTCACTGTCACTACCATGATTTTTGGGGAAATGAAAACCAAGGTGATAAAGAGGTCTCACTTCGTGCTAGTAAACAAGACCGATAAACAAATCGGAATCACGCAGAGGTGGCAGAGATGTGGCGAGCAGGGAACTCTTGTTCACTGTTGGTGGGCTGGGAAACTGGCCCAGCCTCTGCGGGAAACAGTAATGCAAGACCTCTCCAGAAGTTCCAAACAGAACTACCAACGTGACCCAGTAACTCCATTCCTCAGCAAGAACACACCAGCACCAACTGGAGAAGACAGCCGCCTCCTCGTGCTCTCAAGAGCCAGATCTGGAAACAAACCCCTTTGCCCGCTCATGGGGCGGCAGGCGAAGACAGGCGCAACACGAACACAACAGGACGCAACGTGGCTACGGGAGAGATGGAATTCTCCAAGTTGCTTCAACGTGGACGAAGCCAGAGAATGTCATAGCAAGGGGAAAAACAAAGGTCAGGAGAAAAACACAAATCCCAGAAGTTCTCGTATGCCATATGGAAAGAAACAAAAACAAGGGAACAGACAATGCCAATGAAAACAAACCCTTAGACGCTGACAACGGGACAGAGGTGGCCTGGCAGGAGTGAGGGCCGAGGGGGAAGCTAGGAGCGAAGGGAGAGGAGAGGGTGGGTGAGAAGAGGCACTGGGCAGTGCTGGGAAGACACTGGAGCTTTGGTGCAGTGACGCTGTAGGTCTGAAGTGGCAACACCGACCCCACTGGAAACCACGTGACTTCACGGGCAAGAACAGGGTTTAAACAACAGTTTAGAAACCATTCAAGGGCCAGAGCGATAGTACAGTGGGGAGGGTGTTTGCCTTGCACGAGGCTGACCCGGGTTCAATCCCCGGCATCCTATAAGGTCCCCCAAGCACCGTCAGGAGTAATTCCTGAGTGTAGAGCTAGGAGTAACCCCTGAGTATTGCTAGATGTGACTCCACCCCTCCCCCCACCGCAAAAAAAAAAAATACCCAGCCTGCAAATCTGAGGGAAATCAAAGCTTCCGTTCACTTAAGGGAGAGTGGGTGGAGGCAGGCCGGCCGTGCTAGGTGAGGGTGCCTGGACAGACCAGTTTCCTGTGTAGGGCTTGGGTGGGTCTGGATGAGGCCCAGGCTTCCTCCCCAGCCGCCACCGGCCCTCTTCATGAGTGACTTGTATAGGAAGGGCAAGGCATGGAGAGATCATCAGTTCTACTGAGAAACAGAACAAAACCGAGCCCTTTCAAAAAAAAGACAACTGAATTTCTTGAGGAAATTAAATTGCGTCTCCCCCAAATTCCTATGTGTAAGCTCTACCCCTAGTGGGATAGTTTTTGTAGAAGGTTTAGATGGAGTCTTGTGGGTCCTGAGGATGACGGTAGATTCCTTGTCAGAGGAAACTTTGCTTCCTTCTCTCTCTGCACACACAAACACCTGGGAAATGTCATGTGAGGAGACGTAAGAAGAAAACATCATGCAAGGAAACATCAGAAGGAAACATCAAGTGAGGGAACACAAAGAAGGAAAGGTCTTGTGAGGGAAGGCAAGAAGGAAACCCCAACTGGGGGAACACAAGAAGAAAATGTCCTGTGAGAGAATGCAAGAAGAAAACGTCCCATGAGGGATTGCAAGAAGAAAACGTCCTGTGAGGAAATGCAAGAAGGAAACGTTCTGTGAGGGAACGCAAGAAGGAAACGATACGTGAGGGAGCAAAGAAGAAAAGGTCCTGTGAGGTAATTCGAGAAGGAAAGGCTGTGTGAGTGAATGTGAGAAGGAGACGTCATGTGAGGGAATGCAAGAAAGAAACGCTACTTGAGGGAACATGACAAGGAAACGTTATGTGCGGGAACGCAAGAAGGAAAGGTCATGTGAGAGAACGCAAGAAGGAAAGGTCATGTGAGGGAACGCAAGAAGGAAAGGTCATGTGAGGAAACGCAAGGAGACAGCCAGAAGACACACTCGAGACACATCTTGGGCTTCCAGTCTCCAAACTGTGGGGGGGAAGTTGCTGCTCTCAAGACCCTGGTCTCTGGTCTGTGACGGGGCAGTCCGGGCTGAATCAACAGTCTCTGTGTTCTGTCACAGGGCAGGGGCGCTGCAGAGGGAGAATGAGGTTCTCCCTGGCTTCCAAGCTGGCATTTTCTTTCTCTCACTTTTTTGTGTAAGGTCTCTGCGACCAGGAAGCACCTGCTGTCCCTTCCCACAGAAGCCCTTTGTAAGATGTGCTGAATATTAAGGTAAAGGAGGTGTGACGATGGACCCACAGTGCTTTCCTACATTTTGTGAGCAAAAATGGAGATATTGGGGCCGCAGATATAGTAGAGCAGGTAGGGCACTTGCCTTGCACACGGCCAGCCTGGGTTTAATGCTAAACACCCCACAGAGCCCTCCCGGGCCCCTCCAGGAGTGATCCCTGAGTGGAGAGACAGGAGTAAGCCCTGAGCACTGCTGGATGTAGCGTAGCCCCCAAACCAAAACAACAAAACAAACACCAAACCAAAACAAAAAAAAGCAAAACAAAAAAAGGAGATGTGGGCAGAAATAAAGGGTTTAATTTTATTTGATTTAGCTCAAAGGGGCAGGCGGTTCCCGTAAGATCTGTTTCCTTTTTTTCCTCCCCCGCATCTGTAATGTAGCTACTCATTTTTCTGATTATCTCCTAGTAGGGAAAGACAAGCCAAGCCAAGGAGACCAACCTCATCACTCTGCTAGTGATCAGAACGGCAGGAGACTCTGGGCTGTTTCCAAAACAACAGACCTCACAATGCAAGCATATTGAATTTTACTGTATCTTAGCATACAACTGTAGTTTTTATTACTTTTTCCCCCAAAGTGTTTTTTTTGTGTGTGTGTGTGTGGTGTGTGTGTGGGGAGGGTTGGGGGTGCCACACCTGGCAATGCTCAGGGGTTACTACTGGCTCTGCACTCAGGAATTACTCCTGGCGGAGTTTGGG